ATCAGAGTATCTCCCATTATTTTATTGGTTTGTGTAGAGTTGTAAACCTTAAAATGCCTTGAGGGTTTCGTCTTGTCTCATGTAGTAAAAATGCACATTGCTATCTAATTGAGCCTTTTTAAACTCTGTAATATGTAATGTCTTTGTTTTCATTTTATTATTATTATTTATATTGTTAAAGTTACCATTCGTTGTCCTTTTCCCTGTCTGTGATGTTTAAATATCCATATCCATAAAGCATGTTTCTGATGTTTTATTTTTGCAGCATCCATGGACAATGTGCGATAATCATGTTTGATGTCACAGCTCGGTTAACATACAAGAATGTCCCTACATGGCATCGTGATCTTTGTCGGTGTGTCCTTTCTTCTACTTTTAAGCTTGCCGCCCGTAGGTTTGGCTGGATGTCATCTTGAGAATGACATAGTACTGACTTTTCTGTGCTGCCTATCTCAGGGTTTGTGAAAACATCCCAATTGTTCTTTGCGGGAACAAGGTCGATGTGAAGAACAGGCAGGTGAAAGCAAAACAGGTTACTTTCCACAGGAAAAAGAATTTGCAGTATTATGAAATATCAGCAAAGAGTAACTACAACTTTGAGAAGCCTTTTCTTTACCTTGCCAGGAAACTTTCAGGGTGAGTACCTTTAACCTGTTTCTATGACAAATATTTGAAGCATTTGTTGTTCACCAATATGTTGGTGGACATCTGTGGTGCAATATATTTGAATGAATTCCAATTTTTTTTGGCTGCAGGGATCCTAACTTGCACTTTGTGGAATCTCCTGCTCTTGCTCCACCAGAAGTGCAGATTGATTTGGCTGCACAGCAGCAGTAAGTCTCTCTCTCTCTCTCTCTCTCTCACACGCGCGCGCGCGCGTGTGCGAGGTTTTTATTCTTTGGTAAATTTGGAGCCATAGTGCTTATACCAGCTAAAACCTTTGTGAACAATAGTAGATGGTAGGTTCCCAACCGTCTTAGACTTAGTACGGGCACATCTTAGCGCAGAACTTTTTCTCCTCTCATATTTAGTTAAGATATTGAACATAATTTCTGTTGAATGTTCTCAGGCATGAGGCAGAGCTTGCTGCAGCTGCCAGTCAACCCCTTCCTGATGACGATGAGTCATTTGATTAAATTGATCTTAGCCTTGATGATACTTCGTGATGCATTCCTTCCATATGGTGATGGTTTACCAATTTTTCTTGCCTGATTAATGGGATTCTCGTGTCAAGGATTTCTAGTCCTCGAAGTGTGAGATTTAATGGTATATGTAGGTGCTTTTGAAATATCGATGGATTGTTGTGATCTGCTTTGCTTGTGGGAAGATGTTCTTTTTGTCATGTCTTCTGAATGTTGAGATATTATTTCTACTATGTAGGTCATATAAACATTTGAGTTCTTTGTTGATACGTTTGCTCTGTTTCCTGTGGAGATTTTGCTGCATGCACTCCAATATCATTGTAATCTTGCTTCCCAGTAGTTTGCTCATAGCTATTTTGTTCTTATTCATGGGCTAAAATTCTTGTCTGTGCCATGAGGTTTGGCTGAGGTTCTCACTGCTAGACAATGTGTAGGGTATTTACAGGTTGTCAGCATAAGAGCATTGTGTTCCAACATAAAAAAATTTCTTCTCTATTTGGCCAAGAAATATGGACTGTAAAAATCTACAAAATGACATTGATGAAGGATCAGGATACAATGTTTTATTTTCATTACTGGTAGATGGAAATGATGACATCTCGTGTTTTAAATTCATTTTAGGTGTTGTAATTTGGTGTAGTAATTACAAAACGTCACCAATTGAAGTTGATCGACCACTTCACTATGCTTGGTCGACCATGATGAGTTTGGAGATTTGACTGTTGATCAGACAATCCCAAGATCTGAATGACGATTATGTTCCTCACTCACCAAATGTTGGAAATGATGGATGTATTTGAAGACTATCGATGTTGCTCTACGCGTGGACAAGAGGACCGAAATATGCCACTAAAAGACTCTACTGAGACAGATGGACTGTCAAGAACGTAGAGGAGGTAGGATGGGCAGTTGGTCAGATTTAGTATGGATCATATATGGATGATAGTTGGAGTCGACGGCTCTCTCAGGGGTCCTTCATGGGAAGAGGATCAAGTTGGCCCTTGCGAACAGCTTGATGCACTATCTCCCTTCAACCCTTTGAGCGAAATGTGGCAAAAGAAAAGGAAGGAAAATCCATGGACCGACCCCATCATATCCACCCCGTAGGAACTACGAGATCACCCCAAGGGCGCCTTTGGCATCCAGGGGTCATGAACCGACCATAGAACCTTGTTCAATAAGTGGAACGCATTAGCTGTCTGTTCTCTGTTGCATCTGTTATTGTTGCTGGATTGGCTGTAGGGCTTGCTTCTATTGGACCTGGAGTTGGTCAAGAGACTGCTGCGGGTCAAGCTGTAGAGGGTATCGCGAGNGAAAATTTACGTTCAAAAAAATCATACCCCATGTGATTTTGCATCCGAAAATTTACATGAGATATGACTTTTTCAGATGTAAAATTTCAAAATTTTTTGATGAATTCAATATAAAATTTCCTAATAAAATGAAGAAAATTACATTGAAAAATTTGTATCGCAAAAATAATAAATATTAATGAAATAATTGATTTTCTTTTTTTAAATGCGAGTTAGACGTCTTTTTTTAAGTCTCACGTTTAACTATTTTCGATATCTATTTGGACAATTCGATATGCCTATAATGTAGTTTTCGAAATAAGTTTTAAGATGATATAAACAATTTGTAGATTCGATTAGCGTACGATTGTTGGAGAATTTTTAAAATTAGCTTGTTATCGAAATTCAAATTTATTGTGATTTTGCCACTATTTGGTGGAGATTAAAATCAAATTTTAGAGCCTGTTTGGTACAGATTCTCATTTTCTACAGTAAATTAATTCTCATTTTCAACCACATATTTTTCAATAAAATAATATTTTCCATCATATCAACAATTTTTTCTTCTTTTTCAACCACACATTTCCCATCATATTACTATTCAAAATCAATTCTTCTCCCAAAAAATCCCTACCAAACAAGCTCTATATGGGGGAATGGGAAGAGCAGGCCTATAGCCACATTTGTGCTGACATGAGACCCTCCAAAAATTATAAGTACACAACAATACAAACAACTCTTCCTCTCCAAAGAAAGCCTTGGAAATAATATTCACATACCATCTAGTTGGAACCCCCAAATTCATTCACCGGAAAACGCCATCACCGTGTTAAAAAATCAGCACAAACATAAAACCCTAAGTTGATCTGAACGGAACCACGGAACACAGTACAATTCAATACTTATTTTTTTTAAGAAAATTAGGAAAAAGATAGCTCAAAAAATATATATGAAATGTATAACAAATATTCTCATTATATAGAAGCTGAGTCTATAAATGCGAATGATACAAAGATCACTGCAGTGAAAGAAAAGTAAATGAATGAAACTTTCACCTAATTTAGGGAATTACTAAGATTAAAAAAAAAAAGGCTAGCAACATGCTTATTCATTTGTAAACAAGTTCAGAACCTCCCTCGATCTTCCTTTTGTTTGCTTAATATTTAACCATCAATGGAAGAGTTGTAGGGTGTGGGAATCAAGTAAAGACCATTTTTCCTCGGCACGGTTATTCCTTCTCCCTCGGCCATGTCGACTTCATTTCCCTTAGGAAGTTTCCAGTCAAAATGGTAGAGAAGTTGAGCTAAAGGAAGCTCAATATTTGCTAAGCCAAAGTTCATACCAGGGCAAAACCTCCGTCCTGCTCCGAATGGAAGAAATTCAAAGTTACTTCCCAAGAAATCTACTGAATTGTTCTCAAATCTCTCTGGTTTATAGGTTTCTGCTTCAGGCCAATAATCTGGATCTCTTCCCAAAGCCCAGATGTTAATCATCACTTTGGTTTTGAGGGGTATTGTATATCCATTAACTTTAAATTCGTCCCTGCATGCTCTTGGAAGTAAAGGAATTGGAGGGTGTAGCCTAAAAGTTTCCTTGATTACCAACTTGAGATATTTTAGTGATTGAACATCACTCTCTTCGAATGTCCCCTTTCCCTTAGCAACTTCTCTTACTTCAGCCTGTGCTTTTGCCATCACACGTGGATTTCTCATCAATTCTGCCATGGTCCAATCGATTGTGGTGGATGAAGTTTCAGAGTTCCAGCCGAAAACAAGTCCTGCAGGGAAAACAATTGTTATTGATGTTGGACTAATAAATGTAAAGAAGAAATAATAATTTCATATCGATAAAATACTTACAAAAATGACTGCTTTGATGTTGTCGTTAGTTATCGGAATAGATAGTTCTCCACTTTGTTGTAATCTGAGTAGAACATCGACTATGTCTTCACCACCCAACAGACCATTGCCTCTTTTGTTTTTAGCTAGGTTATCTCTATGCTCATTGATCATGGAGTCAAGAATTGAATCAAGTTTACCGCGCATCTTCCATAATCTATTTTTATTCCAACTCATGACTTGTAGCAACTTCGACGAAGGGAAAAAATCTGCCAATTCGAAGCCTCCAGCCAAGGCCGTTCCTTCCTTCATCAGCATTATCAAAGTGTCTTTGTCTTTCAGTACTTCACCGAATGCTGCTCTGCACGTCATTGAACTTGTAAATGAGAATACTCTATCAGTAAGGTTGATGGGTTTCCCAGAAGATGACTGGATAGTTTTCAAAAGATGCGCTGCCTCCTCTATCCTAATATTGCCAAATGATCGAACATTTTTGGTGCTTAAGAGCTCCAAAATGCATAGTTTACGCATTTGTCTCCAGTACTCATTGTATGGACTAAAAGCAATATCAGTATAATCATACCACATAATCTTACTTCCAATACTTTCTGGTCTATCAGCACAAGCAGGATCATGAACCTTTAGTACATCTTTAGCAGCTTCACGCGACGATATAACAACTGCAGGAACTTCACCGAGCTGCAGATGCACGACCGGACCATACTTTTTACTTACCTTTCTTAGAGCATGATGTGGGGGTGCACCTACCAAATGGTGCATGTTTCCGATCAAAGGAAGCTTCCATGGACTTGGAGGCAATTTTTCGTTCTTGTTAACGGACTTTGATTTCTTCAATCCCTTAACTAAGAGAAAGACAAAGGATACGAAAAGCAAGAGAGTGGTGAAGTTGAAGGGAAGAAGATGGAATTCCATTATTTTTGGTTCTGGCTTTTCCCCTCCAAGTTTAGTTGTACAAAATGCACATGAAATGTCTCCTATAAATATAATAGAAGGAAGATTATTCTCTTTATTATATTAGGTTGGTGTGTGTATCAATGTTGACCGGCAAATAATATATAAATATTTTATTCTATTTTGTTTTTTTCACTGACTGTTTTTTAATGTTATTTTGGTGCAAGAATCTGACCGCGGGTAACCGCATGACATTGTTTTCTTTGTTTTTCATGATTGTTCTTTCTTAATTTCCGTTGCTGCTCAAATTTATATCGACAAATATTGACTAGAAGGATTATTATTCTAAAATAGCCCACCGAGATATTAAATTTTCTACAGTCAGACTTGACTAACCTGGTAGAAGATAAGAGATTTTCTAAAATGTAATGCTAGACTGCAATTTTTTAATGGGGAAAAAACACCTGAAGTCATCCAACTTTGAGTAAAGTTTTATTTTAGTTACTCAAATTTTCTTTAGTTCAAAACTCATTCTCGAAGTTTCAAATTTCTTTAAGCTTGATCATCCATAATTTTTTGTCATAGATTTAACATCCCTTCATGTGATTTTCTTGCATTAGACTCTTATGATGTTAGTTTTGTGCATTCACTAAACGACGACTAAAACTTGCATAATAATCAAGTTGTGTTACTAAAATGTTATATGTAAAATAGCGGTGTGCGATTATTGAACAACTTGACAACTAACGAGCCTTGTATAGTTCACACAGTCTATGTAAGAAGAATCAATTGTCATGTATGGAAGGATGTTACATTTTGTGACGGCATGATTGGATCCATATCGGTGACCAAACTGAGATGAAATTAAGACATTGAGTCTGGAAACAAGAAAATTATGTGAATGAATTGAAACTTTAATCGAAGACCTCAAGTGTTTTCCGTATATTCTTAT